GCGGGGGGTCGTGGGGGGGTGTGAGGGGAGGGGCGGGTGTGGGGGGGGGGGGGGGGGGGGGGGGCGGCGGGGGGGGGGGGGGGGGTAATGTAAAACACAGAATCCAGTTGGTCTGGCCTAAACATGATAAGACAATGTACAAAAATCATGAGGGCAAGATAGCACAAAATTTACAAATGATTTTTAACAACAAGTGTATTACAACTTAACAGATAAGCACTTCTACTCTGATTTCAAAGGCTTTGGGGACTAAAGAGTTATCATATTATGCAAATACTTTTTTGACCTCAATGAGTAATCTTTATTTTCAGGGTGACTAAACATCTTTTTATAGTTTTATATTGTTACTCTATACAATATAAATTATCTAACTAAGCTACAATTCTATAGAAGTTTCGAAAAGTGCTAAATTCACAAAATTCACAAAATTCACAAAATTTACGAAACTCATAAAATTTATGAAATTTACAAATTCACGAAATCAAATTTTTTTTACTATTATGGTAAGGACGATCTTTTATCTACTAATTTTGGATTTCTACAACTATCACTATACTAATAACTAATATTACTTATACTGAGTCTTACTAAAAAGGTGCTAGCTTAAGGGTAGGGTTACTTATATATAATCTTGTGGTATTTATTTTTTCTTTTTAAAATTTTACAAAATTTTATTAAGCCAATTATTTTAGGCCATTAAGTAAAAATTATAGAGCATGTTTTTTTGATTCTAATAATAGTAAAATTATTAAAATTGGTTCAATATTCAGCAAAAAATAAATGTTTAAAGTTTAGATATCAAAAGTTATTTACAAAAATCATATGATGATCATATGATATCAACCAATCAAAATTAATTGTTTTGTGTAACTGGGTGAAATTTGAGCCAACTGAGGGAATTTTACAATATATAGAAGTATAATTTTTTTAAATATTTTATCTGCTAAAATTTTACTATTATAAAAAATACATTTTGTTTTATATATTATAAAATTTTAGTCAAAATTAATTACAACTATAAAAAGTTTTATTAGTAACACATTTTTATTTTCTATATAAATCCTATTGTACTACTGAAATCATATGATAAATGATCTATGTACCTCCTACCTTTAAAAAAAGATGAATCATAACAGGAAAAGAAGAAAAAAAAAGAAAAATAATAGTAATAATAAAAAAATGATTTGGGTGGCAATCCTGATCTTACACACTTCTCCCACACTTATATATGAGTACTATAAGTGTATTATAATAGTAATGATCAAAATTTATCATTAGTTAATAGCCAAATCATGTTGAGCATGATATAGAAGATACGATATAGCTGTTCTATATCTAGTTGTTCAAAAAAATAATACGTTCTGGTGGCTCTGATAAAATAATGCTTGGAGATCATATTTCTAAAGTTAGCCAGTTGATTTCTTGGTACCACACCTAAGATTAAGTCTAAGTAATAAGCGTGAACTAAGCTTTCAATTCAATTCCTAGTTTGAATAGCTCTTATCATTTGATGATGAACTATTGTAGCTTTTGTTATAACATCTTGTTCATCGTTAAAAGGACAGGGTGTAGAAGTCACAAACACAGGATTAAGAGAAGTCAAGTCAGCTAGAATTTGGGTAATAGCAATGATATTGGACATTTTCATAAGTTGTAAAAAAAAAAAATTTTTTTTTTTTATCGTGGTGTCTTGTTTTAATTTTTTTTTCTTTCTTTTTATGTATTTTGCTCATAATAGGGCTTTAATGATCTTTTATTCACAGGTGCTATGAGTATTTTTCTATTTAACTGATGCAGTTTATATGCGCCATTTGGTAAGATATTGTATAAATAATATGATTCCTTCTATTTGGGCACAAATTTGTGACTGCATGTTCCCAATAATCTAGAATTATGAATGAGGACCTTATCTCCTATTGAGAAATCAGGGGTGGTTTTGATTTGTTGATCATGTCATTTTTTTTATTTTTTCTGTATTATTCATATTTGCTATAATGCTTGCTCATGGGCTTCTTGTAGATCATTATTAATCTAATACATCCTTTGGATGATTGTTTTATTTAACAACTCCAAGGATTCACTGGGATACATGGGTAGCTTAGCTCTTCATCTATATACCAAGTAAAATGGAGTTTCGTGAGTAGAGGCTTGTTTTGCAGTTCTATATGCAAACAGTATAGGTTGAATTATTAGATTCTAATCTGTTATATTAGTCACTAATCGTAATATTGTATTATACAATGTTTTATTAAATTGTTCCACCAGTCTATTCATTTGAGGATGATAAGAAGTAGAATAATAGTGTGTAATTTGCAAAGCTGCAAATAATTTATTTATGAGATGGTTTCGAAAATAAGATCCTCGATCTGAAAGTATTATATTTGGGGATCTGTGTAGACATATTATTTCTTTGTAGATGAACTTAGCCACCTCCTCTGCTATTTCTCTGAGAATAGCATGCACTTCAGACCATTTTGTCATATAATTGGTGGTAACTACTATATAATGATTTAAATGCAGGGTTATTGGTAATGAGCTAACTATATCAATGCCTATTTTATAGAATGGGATGTAATGGTTCCTTTGCTTTTCTCTCTCTATATTGTTGGCATTTTTCACACATTTTTACATATTCGCATATATCTTCATATATTTGTGTTCAGTAATAGTAATTGCAAATTTTGCTGAACATTATATCTCTCCCAAAATGAGCATCTAGTGGATAATAATATGCCAAGGTCAGGATTGGGTCTATCTTGCTTTCCTTTAAAACCTTTATTAACTTCTTTAACTTCTTGTTTTTTTTGTATAGTGTACTATTTTTGATTTAGAAGTGCCGACTTTGTTTTTCTAAGTGCTTTCTTTGTATTTCATCAAGGTGAAGCAGAAATTATTGATGTAAATATAATTATTTTAGTGCCGAGTATTGTTGTTGATTCAATTTTTTTTATATTATTATTGTCAGAATACCGATGATCTGAACTGGATTGTATTTTAATATTGAGTTTAAGTTTTTGGTTGTAAAGTAGGTATTGATTTCTTCCCTTTCTCTTTTTCTTAATGCAGGTTGCTTTAGTAAACTCACATGATTCTTTTATATTTTAGGTTCTACCCCTTGAATATTGGTTCCAATACTTCTGGATTTGTTTGCACTCATTCAGTAATTTCTAGATATGTATCTAGCTGTTTGTTGTTTTTTTTTTATTTTTTTATTTTTTTTTTAATTCTGATTCTAGGTTTCGATTGGTTTTATTGATATATCTTGATAAGTATTTTTTTTTTCTTGAAATATTTTCAGAAAAATTTGGTTCTGTTACTAATATCTACTATCTTTTATGTTTTAGGTCTACTGCTTATTTTTCGGGTTACGTGATTTTGTGGTCTATAGAACCTCAAAATTTGGTTATTGTCTTTTTAAATAGAGCCCCTCAACTCGTCCTATCCCATTCTGACCAACCTTACTCTAATCATCAGGTTTGTGTAGTTAAGTTTTTTTTATTTTTTTTATTTATCATTATCCTTATGTTCATTTGGTTTTTAATTGTTTTTCTACCTCATTTTCTAGATTAAAATAATAGTCTCAATCTATAGCCACATCAAAGGGTAGCAGCTATTCAGGGTCCTCAGAATCGATTCTGGTGCTATAAAATATATCTTCTTCAATGTTGGTGTTCCACCAAAATTCGCTATGATGCAGGTGAAAATTATGGAAATATTCTTGATTATAAGTTTCGCTATTACTGTTAAATTCCAACTCGTCATCAGACTATTTTGGTAAATCAATTAGGTAGGCATTGTCAATGTCTATTAAGCTAGTTTCACTATTATTTTCTGGTATGATGTAAGCTGTTTTTTCATAAAATTTTTTGTTTAATTGTTAAACTAACTCTCTATGCTGTCTTTCATTTTTCAGGTATTGCTCAAACTCAGCTTCGTCTCACAGGTTGGTCCACATATCGTTCCATGTTTCTTTGATATTTGTCTATAAATTTTCATTTTCCTCCTCAATTTTCTCAAAAAATAGTCTTCTGGTATCATGTGAAATGCTTCAACTTCTTCTGTCACACCATAGGCCTAGTCATATAGATTTTGTAGGGGTTTCAAAATCATATTCTTTTTATTTATTTCATAAGTATTTCCCATATTAGCTGCTTTTTAATGAGGATTAAATTTGTCTTCAACCATTCTGGATAATACATCTGCATCGTTGTGTGCTTGACCAGCCTGATGTACTATAGTAAAATTATAAAGTTATAGTCTCAGGATTCATCAGGCTCATCATCCTTTCAGGCTGTTATTTGTAGCTATTTTAGAGCGCTATGATTAGTGACGACTATGAAGTATTTATATCCAAGATATGAATAAAAGTATTCTACTGCTCAGACCACAGTGTAATATTTCAGCTCTGTTGTCAAATAGTTCCTTTTGGCTTTGGGTAAACTTTTGTTGATGTATACAATAGCATATTTTCTTTTAATTTCATCCTTCTGGGCTAATACTACACTGAGATCAACCCCGGAAGCATCTGTATAGAGAAAAAAAGGTTTTCCAAAATCTGGGTATCTTAAAACTGATTCTAAGGTTAAGTGACCTTTTAAAGTTTGAAATGCTTGTTCTTGTAAGGGTTCCCATTCATAACTAATGCCCTTTTCTTATAACTTGTGTAGAGGTTTGGAGATAGTTCCGAAGCCTTGTATAAATCTTCAATAGTAAGAGGCAAGGCCAATAAATCTCTGTAGCTGTCTTAGATTTGTTAGAGCTAGAAATTCTTTAATTCAAATTACTTTTCCTTCATTAGATCAAATGCTATTTCTTCCTACTTCATGGCCAAGGAATTGTATATTTGATTTAAATAATTGGTATTTTTCAGGGTTTAGTTTGAGCTCTGCTTGCTGGATTTTGGTAAATACTTTTTCTGGTAGTTAAGGTGTTCTGTATAAGTATTAGAGTATATATTTATGTCATCTAAATATACCACTATGAATTTGCCAATATACTCATATAAAATATTATTCATTGCTCTTTAAAATGTAGCTAGCACATTATAAAACCCGAAGGGCATGATGTTAAAAGCATAAATGCTCTGTTTTGTTATAAATGCTGTTTTTTTCTGGTCTTCATTAGTATTTGCCAGTACACACTGGCTAAATCGAGGCAGAAAAACCATTTGGCTTTTCCAAAAGTTTCTAACAAGTCATCAATGTGGGTTAGAGTATATGCATTTTTTTTAGTTATGACATTTAATTTTCTATAATTAACACATAGCTGTAATTTGCTATTTTCTTTGGAGACTATAACTACAGAGAAAGTCTAGGGGCTTTTGACTTCATAAATTAACCCATTTTCTAATAAATTTTTTATTTTTTTTTTCACAAAATCTTGTTTATCCTATAAGCAGACTGCTTAATAGGCTTCATATTGTTAGTATCAATTTTATATTGCACTTTTATGGTTTGGCCCAGTTGGTTTAATCTGGTTGCAAACAAATTGCTGAACTGCCCTAATAAATAAGTGGTTTTTTCTTTTTGTGCTTTATCTAATGTTTCTACTTGCACTAATTCTTTAATACAATTTTTAGAGGTGGTGTTATAGCCTTCATCTTTCTGGGGTGAGTATTTCTTCGATCGATTAAATATATGGCCAGGCTATACTCATCCATCCAAGGGTTAATATATAATTCTCCATCATTGTTAGATTCATCTATGCAATAGCTTTTTACTTTCTCCATTTCCTCTTCTTTATTATTATTGAAAAATCACTGTCATCATTACTGAATTCAGGAGGTGTTTCTGGCTGGTCTTCTTTGGATTGATATATTGGCACTTCTATATATTTGTCCAGATACTGGAGAAATAACCTTTTTTTATTGAAATGGAGTCAGGCATGTACCTTTTGAAACCAATCTATTCTTAGCAATATCATTTCTTTGTTATTCTTGATAACTTAAAAATTGGTAGGTATTATTACATTTCCGATACACAATTTTAGGTCTGGTAGTTCTCTAACACTCTTTTTCTTATGCCGTTAGCAGTGACTACTATCATGTTAGAAGGTACTTTAATGGTGAGATCCAATTTGTTAACTAATTTTTTGATAAAATACTAATAGCAGCTCCAGAGTCTAGTACAGCTAATATAGGGTTGTTTTGGACTCTAATATAACATTTTGCCGCTGTGGACCTATAGTTGACTTGATTTTCAGTGATCTAGAATTCTTCTACAACTGTAATTAAGGGTCATTTTAATGTCTCAGCAAGAATGCGCCTTTGTTTAGAGATATGAAGCATTTAAGCATAAGTTGTATTGGCTCTTTAATTTAGCAAATCAATAGCAATATTATATAGTATGGCTAAATTGACAACAAAAAGTCCTCATCTTTATCTTGGTGAGTGGTTATAATGGATTGGGGTGTAATGTCTGTCTGCTGCTATTCTAAAATACTTCTTCTATTGGGATGGGCTGAGTTAGTTGTTAAATCTTCTGATTTGGTTCAAGAGTGACTCTTTTTTTTAATCTTTCGTCCTAATTAGAATCATTTTTGGGTCTTTCTCACATTTAATGGCATATAACTCTTCTCTTGGCTCTCATGAGTAAATGTCACATAGATTAACATTTCCTGGCTGTGACCCATTATCTTTGAATTTACAGAAAGTCTTCTGGTGTTTTGGTGTCATTCAGAGAGGCAGTTCCTAGCAATGTGGCCTCTTTCTCACAATTATAGTAATCAATACCACCGTTTGAGGTCCGTCAGAGCTGGGATAGCCTATTTTGGTTAGGATGGGGGTTAACTTCAACCCTGGCTGCTAATATATTAGTTAGTTTTTCATAATTTGCAGCTATTTGCTGCATTTTATATGTCAATGCACTGATGAGTGGGTTAGTAGAATCTTCTCTTTTTTTTTTTATAATATTCACCAGCTTCTATTTTTCTAGCATTTTCAATAGTAGGGTCGAAGGTCTCTGGTTTAGTGATAGACATGAACACTGTGATTTTACCCTTTAGACCACCTATAAACATTCTTACAACATAGGTGGGTGGTAATTTATTTTCTGGGTTGACCCTTTTTTGCAACCTCTTAAATTTGTACACATAAAGGTTGACTTTTTCATTTTCTTGTTGAGTTAATAAATTTAGATCTATTTGTCATCTATAATACCTTTTTGGTATTGCGAAATATTTAACAAACTCAGAAGCAAAGCTGGCTTCAGGTTGGGTTTGATTATCCCAATATTTGGGGTCATTCTCATTATTACTATACTAGTTAGCTGCGATTCCAGACAAATATCCTGACGTGATGGCGATTCTTCTTGGTTTAGGCCAGTTATTTGCATTAGCAGCTCTTTCAAATGCTTCTATCCACTTAACAGGGTCTTCATCTTCAGTACTATGGAACATTTTAACTTGAACCCAATTGGTCTCACAGTCCCAGTTTTGATTGTTAAGGCTCTCCTCATGAGCTACTTCTGTAGCAGTATCTCTAAATGTCTTGGCGATGTCTCTCAAAATAAGTTGGATGCTTTCTTGGTGATTTTGGAATGAATAAATGTTGGTGGAGCTTTGGTTTTCAAAATCAAGAAGGTTTTAAGACATTTCTGATGAATTGCTAGGAGTGTTTGCAAGTTTTTCAAAGATGGGTACTGATTTTGCTTTGTTTCTTTGTTGAGACATGTTTTGGTGTATTTATTAGGTATGTGTTTATTTTGTTTTGTTAGTGGAAATCTCTTAGTGTTTATGTATATATAAGAATTAAATATTGTTTAGTAGGATCTCACAGTCACCACCAAACTGTAAAATTGTGAATTTGTAAGTTGCATTAGAAAACTTGCTAGCCAACTATGACAACTCACTATATATACTAAAACTACAAGACTGTTTTAACTATAACACTACTACTATAAACCAAATCCTAGTATTGGTAAGGCAACGATGGAGGCATAGAACAACTTGGTCTGAGAAATCAGGTTTAAATAGGTTATTAGCAATAGTGTTTAGTAATTTAGTTATTTATTCTTACTGCTTTACTAATACTTGACTTCTTCATTAGCAGGTGCTGCAGCCGAGTCTTGTGATCAAAATTAACCAATTAGAATGGTAATACAAGATCACAGTATTACTAGTGCATGAATCAGGTTTGATAACATTGATCACTAATTTAGTCAGATTAATTTAAATATATAAGGTTGGATTACTAATACAATACAATATCTCTCTCTTACTAAATATTATAAGACAATATACAAAAATCATGGAAGCAAGATAGCACAAAATTTACAAATGATTTTTAACAACAAGTGTATTACAACTTTACAGATAAACACTTCTACTCTGATTTGAAGGCTTTGGGGACTAAAGGGTTATTGTATTATGCAAATACTTTTTTAAACTCAAGGAGTTATCTTTATTTTCAGGATGGCTAAACACCTTTTTATAGTTTTATATTGTTACTCTATACTATATAAATTATCTAACTAAGCTACAATTCTATAAAAGTTTCGAAAAGTGCTAAATTCACAAAATTCACAAAATTCACAAAATTTACAAAATTCACAAAATTCACAAAATTTACAAAATTCATGAAATTCACGAAATTCATGAAATCAGATTTTTTTTTTACTATTATAATAAGGATGATCTTTTATCTACTAATTATGGATTTCTACAACTATCACTGTACTAATGACTAATATTACTTATACTGAGCCTTACTAAAAAGGTGCTAGCTCAAAAAAAAGATGAATTATAACAAAAAAGAAGAAAAAAAAATAAAAATAATAGTAATAATAAAAAAATTAATTTGGATGGCAATCCTGACCTTTCACAATATACAAGTATATATAGAATTGTAGAATTGCTAAAATTATTAATAATCATCAATTCTACATTGTAGAATTGTGGAATTACTAAATTTAGGGGTCCCTTAAAGCAGGGCAGATTTTATATAATGATTTAAATACTGCACAAATACCTGGAACATAGTAATGAAATTATGGAGTGTATAGTTTACCAACAACTAGAATGGTTTGTAAACAAATTCTGGATTAAGATTGGATGGAAGTCAGACATGTGAAACTATTATAGAATTATAGAATTATAGAATGTGTATATATATGTATGTATATATATATATATAAATATATATGCTTGAATAGGTGTAGTGAACTCATAGGGTGGGGTTCTTCGGATTGGCCTTTGAAGGTCAATTGCCATGATATCTTGTTTGTAAGCCTTAAGTACACTTGAATAATTTGATGATTTATTAATACAATATCGATATGGATATCATTAGTGGTTTTAGAGAGGAAATGATGTCTACTAAGTAGGAAAACTCTCAGAATTGGCATACTTGGCTACGGGTGAGATACACAGCCATTTGTCAGATGATGCTAAATTATAATATTAATTAAGGGTATTATAAATGATTTTATTAAACTATTGCTTTCTTACGCTTATTGTAAATTATTTCAAACTAAATAGATGTAAACTTTATTATAATATGAAAACTGATTTTAAATAATTGAATCAATAATAATAATTTTAAAATTTAAGTTTTGGTTTATTGGTCATATATTGTATAATAGGTTTGGATTTAAATATGGTTAATACTGCTTTTATTACACTTTGGGTGATTTTGCCCATATTTGGTGTACTTTTCTTGTGTATACATTAATTTATTTGTATGTAATTCATGAGAAATTCTTTTTACGATATTAGGAATGATTGAATTCTTTTTGCATCAATTAATTTGAACAGATTTTTGATTTTCATGAAAGTTGTGAGCCTGTGTAACTGTGTTAATGCATTAATTATGGGCGGTGAATAATTGTACGTATATACATACATACATACGTACTAGGAACATAGTGAAATGGAGTACTAAGAACGTAGTAGAACAGAGTGTATGGTTTAATTTGAGTTTTGTGTATGTCCACAAAATCTCAATTTTGATTGGATGCCTTCTTTTTTGTATGTATTATACTAAACAGTCAATGATCTGCTTCTTTTTCTGCACATGCTTGATATTTATTATATATTGGTCATGTGCCTCATTTCAGCCAACCATTTGTTTCTGCAGAACAAATTTCATATTTATCATCACATGATCCAATATCATTATCTTGCAATTATAATCATATTTTACAAGTCATTATTGCTAACTGAGTAGGGATGGCAAATGTTTTAAAACAACCTATTTTAAAATATCTAAATTTTTTAATAAAAAACAATAAAAAACAATATTTATTTATAAACCAATCATAGTATAGAATTTTAATCATG